CACAATGTTTAAAGACTTAAAAAACTATTTCAGCATCATTAAAATAATTTGCTGTGAAGATTGCTTATATAGAGACAACATTCCTTTTATATAGAAATATTTCAAATAATGTTAAAATAGTAATAAACCATGCTTAAGGCCTGAGCACATATGAGCTTCAAGTGTGGGCCTTATTCCTTAACTGTAAATCTGTAATTTTCTGGGAATGTCCTAAACAGGATTGTAAACTTTGTAGTAATAAAAATGTCTCTTAACACCTTTGTGACCTATGGCTTTACCTTATAGATATAATCCTGTCTAATACACCTCAGGAAAGAGAAAGAAAAAGTGTTTGTCTTTGCGTGTGTGTGTGTGTGTGTGTGTGTGTGTGTGTGTGTGTGTGTGTTAGAAACCCTTTGAACAATGTAACTTCAGAAGCCACCAAAATCATATTACTGACTTATGACTGTTAAGACTTACTTAACTTACTGACTGTTAAGACACCTCAGTGAGCTGGGTGGTGGCGCTGAGGGTGGGGAGGGATAATTCTGGGAAGTGGAAGGGGACAGCTTTGGCAGGTGAAAGAACTGGTTTTAGCCTGAAGAGGGATGGCTGTTTGTATGACCTGAAGAGGGATGGCTGTTTATATGACAGAGACCAATAAAAGAGGCAGAGATGGGTTTGGAAGCAAATAAACTGCATAAGGCAGGGAACTGAAAGAGATTCCAACTAGTATTTTTTTTTTTTTTTTTTTTTTTTTTGCAACTTGGGTATGGTGGTACAGGCCTGTGATCCCAGCTACTCAGGAGGCTGAGGCAGGAGGACCAAAGATTGAAGGTCAGCCTAGGCTATAGAGGGAATTTAAGGCAAGCCTGGGCAACTTAGTGAGACCTTGTTCAAAATTTAAAAAAATTAAAAGTGAGCTGAGTGGTAGTGTTTGCCCATCCTTGGTAAAGCCCTAGGTTCCATTCCTAGGACCATAAAAAAGGGAAAAAAACAAAACTCTTTTATTTTCCCATAGGGCTGGACTGCCAATATAACAACTGAAAAATTTGCACACAATTTCTCTGATACTCTTCCCTTCAAAAGCTAGAAATTAATTCTTCCCTTTTTTGCATCTGTATTGAACTAGCTTTTAGTGGAGAGAATGTGGAAGAAATGAGGCTGTTACTGTGAGTGTCAGAGCTCACTACTGGGCCAACATTACCTGATGTGGCTGGTGAGAAATGAATCTTGACCAGGCACAGGTTGAGGGGGTCACAGCAAGACAAAAGCTGTGAAAAGTTTATTGCAAGCAATCAGACTTTTAAATACCCTTATCAGAAACAGAATATAATAGTAATTTCCAGGATCAGTACAATGGCAATTGCCAGGATACGATGACGTGTACAAGCTATACAGGATATACAAGATTAATGTCTGCGACCAATTGTCCTGTCAAACTTCTATATGTTTCATTGACTTCCAAGGAACACAGAGAAACACAGAGCAGCCGAAATTCGTCACTGAATAAGGGAGTGACTCCAGTTTCTAAGGAACTGAAAGGCACACGGTACCCCAGGAGCCACAGATTCTAACATGGAAAAGAGGTAGCTAGACCAGGCCAACTCCATGATTCTCTGCATGTTACTTCCATGATTTGGATCTTATTTTGTCTTGTTCATTATTTTGTTTCAGATGGGGGTGGCAGGTTGGCCTTGAACTCTTGTGCTCAAGCAGTCCTCCTACCATAGCTTCTCCAGCAGCTGGGACTACAGGCATATGTCCCCACTCCCAGGACATAGTAGGTTTTCCAGGCGGTGAGTTTTGTCTCCATAGTCAGCTATCCTGGTTTATCTAGGACTGATGAGTCTCCTGAGATGTGGGACACAAAATGCAAACACTAGGAGCATTCTGGGCAGATCAGGATGTGACAGTCAGGAAGCCCCAGTAGCGGCCAGAAGGCTCTGGCTCTTTTTTTTTTTTTTTTTTTTTTTTTTGAGACAGGGTTTCTCTGTGTAGCTTTGCACCTTTCCTGGAACTCACTTGGTAGTCCAGGCTGGCCTCAAACTTACAGAGATCCACCTGCCTCTGCCTCCCGAGTGCTGGGATTAAAGGCGTGCGCCACCACAGACTCTGGCTCTTAAGCAGTTACTTGTTAAAAGCATGGCATGTGCTTTCATCTGCCCTGGCTATGAAGGTTAATCTTCACCGTGGACTTGACTGCATTTAGAATCACCTCTGAGTATGCCTCTCAGGATGTTTCTAGAGAGGCTTAACTCAAAGAAAGTCCCGCTCTGAATGTGAGCAGCACCATCTTATGGATTGGGGTCCTGTACAGAACCAAAGAGGGAACCCAGCTGAGCACCAGGATGCATCTCTCTCTGCTTCCTGGCTGTGATGAACCCTGAGCAGCCACCTGAAGCTTTTGCTGTGATGGACTGTATCTCTCCCAATCATGAACCAAAACAAACCTTACTTTTAAAAATTTTAGCTAGGTGTGGTGGCACATGACTTTAATCCCAGCACTTGGGAGGCAGAGGCAGGCAGATCTCTGTGAGTTCGAGGCCAGCCTGGTCTACAGAGTGAGTTCCAGGATAGCCAGGGCTGCACAGAGAAACCCTGTCTTGAAGAACCACCGAGAGAGAGAGAGAGAGAGAGAGAGAGAAGGCAGATAATCTATGAGTTCAAGGCCAGCCTGATCTACACATAGAGAGTTCCAGGCTAGCCAGAGAAACAGTGAGACCAGTCTCAATACAAAAGCAAAAACAAAACAATCAAAAAATTAAAAATATAGCACTCAATATTCTGATTTAATTTTCATGCAATTTTTTTAAGCTCCTGACCCATTTTTGTGAGTTGATAATACAATGTAACAATGAAATTTCATGTTTAGCATTTAATGTCTATGAAATTATATATCATATTAACTCCATTATTTAAAATTACTGCATTTACTTGGTGTGAGTGTGTGTGTGGTATGGTGCATGTGTGGAGGTCAAAGGGTAGGTTTGAGGACTTAGTTCTCTTCTTCCACGTGGATCCTGGGTATTCAGGTTGTGAGCCTTGGCAACAGCCCCCCACACCAACTACATTCTCTTTATTGGATAGTTATTGAGAACTACTATAGCACCAATACAATCTGAAGGAAGAAGAAAGATTTGGGCCAGTTTGATGGCCTGTGATCCCAGCATTCAGGAAGCTAAAGTTGGAGGCTTCCTGTGAATTTGAGGCCAGCCTGGCCAACATAGTACATTGCAAGTCAGCCAGGGCTGGAAAAACAAAAATATAAAAAAACCAGGTGAGTTTCAAATTTCCAAGTGCTGGGATCACAGGCATGCACCATCAGGCCTAGCAACAACGTAAATGGTTCATGTGTACGTGCATGCTCTTCTGTGTGCAGGCAGGTGTGCATGTGTGTGTGTGTGCATGCATGCCTGTGGAGGCCAGAGGACAACCTTAGGTGCTGTTTCTAAGGTGCTGTTCACTTATTTAAAACATTAGAGGTTTATTTTCACTATTTTAAGATGATGTAAAAAACGATGTTTATGTGTGTGGCTCTGTGTATGTGCACATAAGTACAGACACCCAGAGTTCAGAAGAGGATGTCAGATCCCTTAGAGCTGGAGTTATCGGTGATAGCGAGCTACTTGAGATGGGTGCCAGAAACTGAACCCAGGTCCTCTGGAAAAGCAGCCAGTCCTCTTAAGCACTGAGCCATCTCTCCAGCCCCTTTCCCTTTTTTGAGATTAAGGTTTCTCTTACTGACTTGGAACTTGTCAATCAGGCTACATTGACTGGCCAGTGAGCTCCAGGCTCTTTTTCTTTTCTCTTTCTTTCTTTCTTTCTTTCTTTCTTTCTTTCTTTCTTTCTTTCTTTCTTTCTTTCTTTCTTTCTTTCTTTCTTTTTCTTTCTTTCTTTCTCTTTCTTTCTTTCTTTCTTTCTTTCTTTTTCTTTCTTTCTTCCTTTCTCTCTTTTCTTTCCTTCCTTCCTTCCTTCCTTCCTTCCTTCCTTCCTTCCTTCCTTCCTTCCT